CCAGGGTCTGAAGACTGCAGCTGGGGAACCCCAGAGCTCCACCCTAGAGCCCAGGGTCTAAAGACTGCAGGCAGGGAGCCCCCAGAGCTCTACCCGAGAGTCCAGGGTCTGAAGACAGCAGCTGGGGAACCCTCAGAGCTCTATCCTAGAGCCCAGGGTCAGAAGACTGCAGCCAGGGAGACCCCCCAAGCTCCACACCAGCCCCCAGGGCGGTCATGACTCAGCGGCCATGAGTTTGGCTTCTCTCTTAAGGGTGGAACGAAGAGCGATGTGAGCCGGTGCGGCTCTGCACGGGCCCATTCTCCCTCCCAGCACCGAGAGCCAACTGTGAGTCCTGCCAGTGGACCTCACTGACGCTGAGTTGGTCCCAACACAGAGCTAACCTTCCAGTGGGTTTCAGAGGCTGTGAAGTACACAGGAGGGGCCTGCCTATCCTTCTCCCTCGGAGCTGTGGTGGTCTAAACCACTGAGACGTAAGGCCTCTGGGTTGGCAGTGGAACACTCTATGGACTACACCACCAGAGCTCCAGGCCAACGGATGAAAAGCGTAACATCAGTAACAGCCACCAGACCATAGGGGTCCCTGAGTGGTGCAAACAGTCAGCATGTCGGTTACACACCTCGAGGCTGGAGGTCTGAGGCCACCCAGAGGCACCTTGAGGGAAAGGCCTGACTAAAACCAGTCACCCTGCAGAACAGCTCTCAGAGTCTGAGCCAATGAGACAGCAAATGTACCTGATGCCAGCTGACTCCACGGCCTGTGAAAGGCCACACACGCAGCCTGAGGACACACTCTGTGGACACGCTCTGCTCCCCACTGGCTGCCCTGTCTGGCAGAGCTGAGGCCGAGGAAGCAAACATCACCCTGCTTCCACCACCCCCTCCATCTCCCTCAGCAAGCCCCTCTGACCCCTCCACTGAGGAGCTGTCAATTCCAGCCCTTTCAACCAAAGCAGGGGGCAGGGGTGGCTAAGACAAGGAGGGAAAACTACCGCCCAGAGATCATGTTTAAAACTTTCAGCCAAAAGCATCCCCTGGAGTCACCTTAAAACTGAACAACAGCTTAACTAAACTAGCAAAGGAAGTCAGTCTCCAGCATTACACTATTTGAAGATCTGTGGACATAGGACCACACTGATGACGGCATCTGGAAGGACGTGACTGGTACCTCAGGGGCGGGGTCTGTGTCAACGCGGGACCAACACTCAGAAAGGAGGGTGAGGGATGTCACCAATGGCACTAAGCTCTACACCCAGAAGCTGCCCACTCAGAGTACGTTCTGCCGTGAATAGCATCAACCGTAATAACAAAATCATAACAATTTAAAGGAGAAAAATTGGTTTAAATTGCTTTCCTGCTTGCTGGCATCTAAATACAGCGCCTAAGCCTAGTTCCGTGTCACAGAGTATTGTCTGTTCTTTTTCTTTTTCCAGCAGGAATGTCGGGCTAGAGACCACCCTGAGTGCTCACAGGTCGAACACTGGGCGTAGAAACAGCCACTTCCTGTTTGCCCGAAGCCTCAGGCACAGCACAGCGGCCACAGCTGTGGTGCTCACAGGTCCAGGGCAACTCTTTTTGTTCTCTACAGTGGAGCTTTTCAAAAACGTTTTAAACTAAAACCGAAACCCCAATGTTATCAGATGAATTCTGACTGCTCGTGACCCTGCGGACAGAGGGAACTTCCTGCGGGGTTTCTAAGTCTTTACCGACACAGTGTGCTGCCATCTTCTTTCCACGGAGCAGCTGGTGGGTCTGAACCCCCGACCTCTGAGTTAGCAGTCAAGAGCTTAAACTACTGTTGTCAACAGAGTCCCTGCTTTAAATCGAGTCCAAACCTGTGAGTTTTCCAAGTTTAGGGGTGCTATTTCCACTGACGGAGAGAAGCCAACTGGGATTTCCTCACGAACTGCTGTCTGCTCAGGATGAAGCCCCCTCTCCCCCAGTGGAGACGTTCTGTGTCACCGGGGCCACCTGCGGTTCTGTGGCTGAGATGTGGACAGTCCCTCCGTGAGGTGGCCATCCCCTCCCTCAAGGGAGGATCCACCGGGGTGTGGCTCCGGCCGTACATAAGGAAGGCGGGGGGCTGGCTTGCTTTCTGCTCCATCCTGACCCACACCCGGCTCCTCAGCACTGGCTGGATTTGACCAGCGGCCTGCCTGGCCCCCTGACGCTGGATTCAGGAGCCCCTGATGGGTGTCACGTCGCTGGAGAACTCGGCCTAAGAGCCCCTCCGCCCTCACCCCAAGCAGACACTCACTTCCCAGAGCCGGCCCCTTTCATGTGGTCTGTGTAGATATAGATGTCGGGGAGGAACTGGTTGAGGATGCTCCTTGCAGAGTCCACGATCCGGTTGGCCATCTGCGGGGACACACGAACGGAGTACCTACAGCCTGGAGTTAAGGAAGTCACACTGTCTGGATGGCAGAGCGGGGACGTCGACAGGAGAACGGACTGCTGTTTGTGAGGCTTGAGGTCATGTCGCTACAAGAGGCCAGGACAGCTGGTAAAGCACAGGGCCAAGCACACTCGGGGAGACGGTGCGACCCCACGGCTAGGACGATGGCTCAAGCACAGCAACATGCTCAAGACGGGAAGAGGCCAGACGGCCGGCCGGCCTGTTACACGCTGGTCACCGTGACTCAAAGTCCACTCAGCGGCAACCAAAACAGCAACAAAACAAAGCAAAAAAACAAAGCCCTGGACAGAACAGAGCCTCCGCCTGGTCACCAAGGCTGTAAGTCTCACAGGAGCAGACTGGTGTTCCAAGGAGGGCCTACTGGTCGCAGTCCAGGACTTGGCCTACGCTGAAGGCCTTCCAACTAAATTCTGCTTTACAACTATATTTAATTACAACTATGGGGTTTAAAATGATAAAAAAAGACTTAAAATGATGTTCACGGTAAAAAAAAAATTCAGAGAAAATCAGAAAGTCAAAAAAAACCCACCCAGACTTCCTCTCTCTGCACCCCTTCCCCTACAGAGAGCTCCCCTCAACACAGGAGTGTGGATGCCGTTTATACACCCCTTCCCCTACAAAAAGCTCCCCTCAATATAGAGGGGTAAGGGTACTGGCTTTGTACCCCTACTCCTAGAAAAAGCTCCTTTCAGCATACAGGAGTGTAGGTGTCAACTTTGCACCCCTCCCCCTACAGAGACTTCCCGTCAACACAGAGGAGTGTGGGTGCTGGCTTTACACCCCTTCCCCTACAGAGACCTCCACTCAACATAGAGGGGTGAGGGTGCCAGCTTTACACCCTGGTCCAGCTCATTTCAGAAACCACGTCCGGTCCATCCGTTCTCTTTCCTAAAAAGCCATCTGTCCTTACAAGCTGAGGCTGTGTCTCAGAGCCCACCAGAGAGGGCCTGGCCAAATCCCACCCACCTCCTCAGCTGCCATCAAGGGACAGACAACGTTCAGAAGGAAGGTGCCGAGGCTGTGTAGAAAAACCCAGAAAGGCGGTTCTAACAGAGCCTATCTCCTACTGCTCAAGACTTAAGGATCGTGTTTTTGAGAGCCCATTTGTGCCCGTGTGTGTTCCTGTGTCTGTGCACACACGTGTCTCTGTGTGTTCTCACACTTATGTGCTGGTATAAGGAGCTTTTGTTACCCAAATGTCACCCACTAGCTCAAAGGCTTGGGGTTCCAAGAAGCAAACAAAGTGGTAACTGGTGGGAGGAGCATAGACAGGGCGGGGGTGATGATGCCCCCAGGAAGGGAACAGACTGTGGGGTGGGAGGATCCGGAGGCCTACAGGACCCCCACTGCGAGAGGACGGATCACACTGTCCACCTTCACGCCACCACACTGTCCACCTACACACCGGCGCCCTTCACGCCATCACACCCCCTCTTCACACTATACCACCCAACTGCACACCACAGCACACCACCCACCTTCACACCATACACCACTCACCTTCACATGCCCACATTGCCACCTCACACCACACCGTCCACTCCTTGTCCAGAGCTTACTGGATAGGGTGGGCCGCATGCTGCAGCCTTCTGCTCCCAAACACACTACTTCTGTCCTCAGAAATGCCTCTGATAGCTTCAGAGGACGAGGAGGATGAGAGCGCAGTCTTCCCAGCACTCAAAAGAGCTCAGTCACACCACCGCCCTTGTCCAAAAGTCTCTCTGATTACGGGACGCTTGGACAAACAATTTTGGGTCAATGTCCCCTTTGGATGGAACTGCTGTCGTCAGCCTCACGCTGCCCGTTCCCCTAGGAGCAGAGGAGCGGGACTCTCCTAACACATCACCCCCAGCATGCCTGGCTCTGGGCTGCCCACGGCCATGGTCACCCACCACACTCATGCCCTCCACGACCTCTGGGAAGGCCTCGATTATCAGAAGGGCTTTTTCAAGGAGGCCCCTCTCTGCCAGGCTGCCTAACTACCCAACTGCCAAACAGACAACAACTTCACCTCGAGCCCACACTCTTGGGAGGTGTCTACTAGGTAGGCCGCTGTGCAGGCAGCACCAGGTCTGGTCTACAGCAGGGTCCGGTGGAACTCACTGATGGTGGAGACCACTCCTCTCCGTCATCCGCCGTCCAAGAGCCCCCAGTCACAACGGCCACACTCAAGGTCCAGTCTATACCCTGCCAGGTCATTTAATCCATTCTGTCCAAATGACATTTGCAGATTGGTCTTCTACTCAGACGACTCTTTTGAGATGGGGTCATAGTGCTTTTGTGCCCCCAAAACAATGCCCCGGGGCAACTTCTCTCTGTCTGTCTGTCTCTCTCACACACACACATACAAGCTAGCTGCTCATCAGAGGACAAAAGCCGGCAACCTGTACCTCACAGCCCCCTGCAGACACTGAGTTCCTCCCCAGCCCTGCACCAACAAGTCTACTCAGAGGTGCCATTTCCCCAACAGCCATGTGTTCAGTGTCTGTCGCTCTCACTCCCTTCACACTTTTTTACATCACCACTGCACACTTCACAGACTACAGTTCCGTGTGAGTACAGCTGTTAGACGCTCTGAGAAACAACAACAAAATGCACGTGAATCATTGCATTCAAGAGTGCGGTGGCTTCGAGCCAAACTTGCACTAGCTCCAAGGTCAGCTTGCTCACAGCTCACGGGGAGACGGACGCCCAAGTGCCACATCCCCAATGAGAAGGCGAGCCCTCCAAACGCAAAGGATACGCCACTCCGCGGATACGCTTGATCTTCCCGGGGTCCGTGAGCTGAATGGGCTTCAGGGCCCTCTTGATGGGACATGAGAAAAGCACTTCGCCGCCACCGCCAGGGGGCATCCCCCGCCGCACGATCTGCACAGCCAGGGAGAGAAGTTGAGAGCGCAGCACAGACTCCCGACATCCAACAGCCCAACATCCAACAGCCCAACATCGCACCCAGGGAGAGGGGACCAGGGGCTCTCATGGCGGATGGATCTCCGTGTGTAACCTGATGACCTCATCAAGACCACCTGTACCCCTATCCATGCCAAGAGGCCCCATGCTGCACACAGACACCCATCAGTGTTCAAGAAAAGGCAGAGGACACAGAGCCCAGGAGGCCATCCTGGTCCGGGTCAGAGCCCTGGCCTAGCCCTCCTCTAAGGCGCTCTGGCCAGGTCCCTTGGCCACTCGGAGCTGCTTCCTCATCCTTCCACGGGAATCTGGCCTCAGTCATTGGATGACCCCATTTTTGACACTCAGAAATCCCTTCTACCTATCTACGTAAAGAACTCAGCTTTTGCAACTCTATGACATTAAAAAGAAAGGAAGGTATTTCCCATTTGAAAACATCAGTCGTCTCCCACCTGGGTTCAAACACCCAGGAACCGCTATGTAACCTTATGTGGCCCTTTATGCTACGGCCACCATCTGAACCATGTGATCAGTTCAAAGCCATTTTCAACAGCAACCAGCTGGATGTTACATGACTTCTCCGGGCCAAGAATCCCTGAGCAGCCAGTGTGGAAGCCCCGGGCACACCCTCTGTCCAGACAGTCTCGATCACTACGGCAGATGGACCAGATCCTGGCTCTGCCGCCTCCTGACTCGATGGGCCAGGTAGGTCACGGGGATGGACAGACACGCCAGAACCTTCCAACAAGTGAGGGCACCCCAACTGCTGTAACTGCTGCTGTTACCACCAGGGGTCCTCTCGGCTAAATCTGCAGAGCTGGGTTTCAAATGTCACATACACACTCACACGCACGCACACAGTGAGTCTATGAAAACAGTCCACAGAGGTAAACTGCCACAGTTTATGAGATCTTACCTTTAGCTCAAAGGATTCGCCATCGATTCCAAACTGTTTCAATAGTGGGAGAGCTGTCGCTTTAAGAATGTCAACCTATGAAATCATTTCAGAAAAAAACAAATCTAGTTAGAACTTTCACACAGGAGGACACGGCCCATCTTTCTCTTGTGGAGCAGCCGGTCAATTCAAACTGCATCCCTCTGGGTTGGCAGCGCAGCTTTTTACCACGAGGCCACCAGTTAGCTCCTGACCCGTGGGGTTCCTGGGCATAAGAGAGCAATGCACAATGCTGTCCATCAGATGGCAGCACTGAGTCACAAGATTTTAATGGCTAATTTTCAATCACCAGGCCTTTCTTCCTACTCTTAGTCCAGAAGCACTGCTGAAACCTATCTAGCATCGTTATCAACCTACCAGCCCCTCTGACAGCAGGTGGTGATTGCACCTGAGCTGCACTGGCCAGGAACTGAACTCAGGTCTCCTACCTGGAAGGTGAGAATTCTACCATGGAGCTGCACTAAATAGACCCTGGGCAGATGGGAGAAAGTGCCTCTGATGCAGGTGAGGGCGGTGGAGGATGCTGCCTGGTCGGATGAAAGGCCATGGATTCTCCTCCCTCGGCCGGGCCTCGAGGGACACCAGCTTGACGAGGCACCCTGGCTTCTCGGAGCCCCACTGTGCTCATCCTGACGCTGAGACTTCACCCAGCTCACGGCATCCCTGAGCCCCACCTGCATCTCTCAGACAGCACGGACATGCCGCAGGCTGTTACCCTGGAAGTGACAGGGGCCTCAGCCCAACGGGTCAGCCTTTTCTATCACCTTCCCTGATACCACTGCGAGGTGCTAATACTCCATGCCAAGCCCTCCACATGGACCCCCGGTGGCACACAACCATCCACCCACAGGTGGGGGTCAGGGGAATGCTGGCATGGCTTGAAGGCAGGAGAGCCCCCAAGCCCTCAAAGAGCAGGGTCCCACAACCGCAGTGACTACAGTCTCAGTCCAGAGGGTCCAGACCTCGTCTCCTGAGTGTGTTCCCCGGGCAGCGTGCCTAGAGGACTGGGCCCCTTTCTGTTCACGAGCCGACGGAGTCTTCTGAGCACAGGACTGACGTGACACTCGAGTCATGTTCGTCCAGCAAGTCAGAAAATGTGCCCTAATTTCTCTTTTGTGGTTGTTGTCGGGTGCCACTGAGTCAGCTCTGAATCAGACAACAGTGTGCACAACAGAACGAAGAGAGATGCTCCACTCTCCCACTCTCTGCTGGGCCCGAACCCACCGCCTGGTCACTGCGACATCAGTATTCTGAGTGTGTTCCAATCTGAGGTCCTCGTTTTCTGGAACTGTATCAGACAACGTTCTACTCCCTTATATCTTTGTCTTAATCTGGAAGCTGTGCTGAAACCTGTGTACTACGGCTGACCCTTCTGGTCTTTGAAATACGAAGCCTCCAGCATCACAGCAAAACGCAAGCCACCAGAGTAGACTAACAGAAACAGGAATACTGGCTCTCTAGTGCTCCTGTAACAGAAACACCCCAAGGTGGAAGCCTTCGCAGGCACGACTGTACTTCCTCACAGGCGTTCTGCATTGTTCCAGCGGAATACACCTGCCTCACAGGGCCTTCCCGACCTATTCACTGAAGGGCAGCAGATCTTTCTACCACAGAGCTGCTGGGTGGGTTCAAACCACCAACCTTTCAGTGAGCAGCTGAGTGACATATCTGCACCCCCAAGACTCCACGTCTATCTATAACACACTGTCGTCGAGTCGGTGGCTCATGGCAACCTCCACTGGATTTGAGGCTGTAAATCTAGAGTGGGGCGGACTGCCTCGCTTTCACTCGAGGAACACGTGGTGGACATGAACCAGAGGCCTTCTGGTCAGCAATGCAACACATCAACCAAAGGTATTCAGTCTTGCAGTCTCCCTAGCTGTGTCCATAGCTGTCTACCACGGTGAGAGTACTGCGTCCTGTGGGCAGCACAGGCAGCCATCCTAGCCCACCCAGGCATGAAGAAACTACACACACCCATTCCTCAAACTGACCATGCCAGCTACTTACAAAACTGTCAAATCACAGAGAAGCATGGGTCAGCCACGAGACACATAACCTTGACCATCACAGCAGTGTTACTCTCGTCTCATACCACAGTGGTTCATTACTGCCAGATGTACATCGCTAATGCACCGAACAGTCAAACAGATTTTCACTATTGTCATAAACGTAAAATGTTGGTTAATCAGACGGCAAGTGAGGAACAGCCACACTTTTTTCTCCTGGGCTGGAACCAGGTGCCAACATAACATCAGTTGCACAATTCGAGTCATTTTCGGCAACACAGAAAAACAGATTCGTTAAAAGTACTCTGCAAACAAAAGTTTTAAATATCATTTAAAGAGACTTCATCTCCAGTGGCTTAGTGGTAAGAAGCTGTGCTGCCAACCCAAAGGCCTACAGTTAGAATCCACAAGCTGCTCTGTGGGGAACAAGATGGACACTGTCCCGTCCCCCGTGCCAATCACTGCCTCTGAAAACCAGGTGAGGGAGGGTCAGCTATGAGTTAGTTCTGACTACAGTACATAATAACAACTTCAACTGATCTGTCATGAATAGAAAAAATCATTTTCAATATTTCATTTGAGCATCCGAACACAGCATGGAAAACTTGGCCACAGCTGCTGTAAAGCCCCGTGACACTTCGGGGCCCTTTCCTGTAGCTTTCCAAGGCCATCAAGACGCCTCGACTCTACCTAAAAGCGGAGCTGCTTCCATTCTTGCCATCATCTGAACAGTCTATTTCTTGGAATTTTCTAGAACATGCAGGGAGGAAAAAGCAATCACTTGAAATTAGCTATAATATTCCAAATAGCTTATCCAACAGTCTTTTGACTATTAAGACGTTCAGATCTTGAAATCCGCTCTGCATCCAGTCGGAGAGTTTAGGCAGCTGCATTTCCAAGAACTGAGTCTTTAAAGGCTCAGAGCACCCTGAGCTTGTTTCTGCCGTGGCGGGGCCGTCTGAGTCAGTTTCAGGCTTGCTGACTCCATGCAGGAGTCGGGGTTCTGTTCTCAGGTGATCCTCCTGCCAAGCAGCGCCCCTGTCAGTGGAGGCCTGCCAGGCTGTGATGCTGACCGGACTTCAGCGGACCCTCCAGACACAGGCAGACTGGGAAGAAAGGCCTGGTGATCTACTTCCAAACTCAGCTAATGGAGACCACCAGCGGCCTGCGGGCAGTCAAGGGGGTGGGGCAGGACCAGCGTCCAGCATTCGGCTCCACGTCATGTGGAGTTGTTGCTATGAGACAGCTGACGGGAGCTCATGGAAAGCTTCACCTCACAGGATTAGTGTCTAACTCGTAGGTAAATATACACAAACATGGTGAGCAGATGTAAGACACTCACGGATGGGTCCACCTGGTCATTGGTGACGCCTCGCAGAACAGCCTTCAGCGGGTGCTTCATGAAGGGTGCCAGGCAGAGGAGGGCCTCCAGGTAATAGCCGATGCTGCGGAGGACGCTGCAGTCATGCTCCACAGAGCCGCCGTACAGGAGGCCGGGCTGGTAGTACAGGGTCGTGCCTGCGGTGGAGAGAGCGCAAACTCAGAGAAGTGCGTGTGCCAAAGGCCGGGGAGACAGGGTCATGCCTTGGGTAAAGAATACAAACTCAGAGAGGGAAGTGGGTGTCCCAAAGGCCAGGAGAACGGGCTGGTGGGACAGGGTCGGGCTGGCAGTACGGAGCTGTGCCTGCAGCGGACAGAGTGCACACTTAAGAGAGAGAGAAGTGAATGTCACAAAGGTTGGGGAAGCTGGGATCTGAGGATGGGTCTGACCAGGGCACACTGTTACTATCGTCCTCAAGTTGAGTACGACTCATAGCGAACCTATCATCAACAGATCGAACCCTGTCCTATCCCGTGCCATCCTCATCATTTCTCATTCAAGCCGAGGGCATGGGGGGGAGGAACAGCCACCTGAGCCCACACCTCATTCTCAAGGCTGACTCTCAGCTGCCACGTCCCCCAACAATCACCTGAAACTGTACTTGTAACATTACTAAATTACCGCTTGGCCCGCGTCACCTGAATCACCAGGGTCATGAAAGGGCAGAGTCACATGCTCAGACAGCTGACTGGCAGGGCTGACAGATGGGACCCCTGAACCTGTGTCCAGGCCCCCCTAGCCTCTGGATGGCAGAGCCCCAAAAACCAACACACCAGGTAAGATGCCCAGAGAAGTGAGGCTTCAGGCCAGCTCAGCACACTCCTGTCACAACCCACATGGATGCGTTCCGAAAACAAACACCTGCGCCCAGGAATCAGCTCGTGGAGGGACCAGGTACTTGGGGGTGTCAGTGACGCACAAAGCGGCCCAGGAGCTGCCATCTGTGTGTGGTACCCCTCACTCCTACTTCCTTTACATGAAGACAAGCTCACAGCTTCTGAGTCAGTCTGAACTCAGCACATGTAGAAATAGGAAGTGCAGTTTTGTAGTAAGGAGCCCTCATAACGCACTTCCTGTTTCACACAAGAAAGGAAAAAAACTGAAGTCCAGGGGCTCACAATGAGAACCGCATCCTGACCCAGGGGGTGTGCGCTCTGTCCAGGGGGTTCCGGGTCGTTCTCATGGGCTCTATTAGGGCCACAGAAATCATCCTCCAGGTTTTAGGAAGGCAAAGTGAAAAACTCCAAACCTATAAACCCAGTAACCATCTACATGAGAGAATCATTAACTCAATCTACCTGTTTATGCTTGTAAATCAGCCACATGGGGCCCAGAACAGATCATCCCAGACATGAAGGAGGACGCCCTAGGGTGAGCCTCTTACCCCTTGAACTTGGCTGCAGGTGTCACTAAAAACATTATCTCCTCAAAATCACAGATTAAAAATAGCCATAAAAACCCTTAACAATGTCATAGTAACCCAACCACAGACCAGCAGGGGAGCCCTAGCCTTGCAAAGGACACCGAACTTCTTTTGTCTTCACCTGTTCTCTGAAGGTTGTTGAAAGCAATTACAGCTCGGTGAGTCTTGGGCAGAACAGGGTCACTTGGGAATCTAAGCGTGTCTTCTTGCTAAGACAGCCTACCAGAGGGGGACAGACGGGGATCTTCCACTTCCTCTGCTGAGTGTGTGTGAAGAGGTGCACTGGTCTCAGAGTCACCAGAGGCTATTTGCCATGGTCTCTAGACAACATGGTTGCAAGAGTTAGGAGTGTGTGTGTGTGTGTGTATGTGTGTAAATCTAAGTATCTGCAACTAACAGAGCCCTGAACTATCATGCATCCATACTCTGGATCATACCATGCAGGACAGGTCAGGGGTCAGCTCTGCTGTTCACAGGGCCACCAGGAGACTAGAGAGTACCTGACAGTACAGTGGAGCGCCACTGCCCGGGGTCTGTGTGGGACTCTGCAGAGACATTTCTGCAAGAATCTATGGGAAGTTGTTTTAATTCATTAGTTAAGTGCTGGTTTACAAATCACATTGGTTTTTCATACAAGCTTTCAGACATTTTATTTCCTAACATTAGCTGTCACTGACTGCTGTTATTAGTCTATCAACAATGTCTAATCGACCCCTTACTATTGCCTTTCTCTTGTGTGAAGCTGTTTAGAAAGAAAATAAAACTTCCACAGATACAACTTCCATTTTAACAGAAATTGTTTAAGAATTTAATGAGATAATGTAAAGAGAAGCACTTCCCCTCCACCCCTGGAGTGAGAGAGAATTTCACATTCTTTCTGGAGCTTTTACTGGGATTCTCAGTATACAGCACTCAATATCCGCGTATTTAACGTGTCCATTTCTGGACAAGCTGTCTGCAGGTGTCCCTACGCAGTGGGAAGAAAATGCTGAGAAGAAAGTAACAAGCCCAGCGCTAGGAGAATTTAGTCCTGTGAGGGAGGGAATCTAAGACCAAATAAATAAAAATAAGGTGTCAGCTGCAATGGTGCTATGGCACCGAAGACCAGGGTGTCACAGTAAGAGACCTGAAGAGCAGCACAGACAGGCTCTGAACGTTTCATACAAATGTTAAAAACAAACCAAGCTTAGCTGCCGTGGAGTCCATCGCGACACACAGACCCTGGAGGACCGCCCCACGGTGTCCAAAGCTGTCATCTTTACAGAAGCCTCATCTCTCTCCTGCACAGAGACTGAACTCACAGGTTTTGAACTGCTGACCTCTCACTTAGCAGTCAAGTGCTCTAACCACTGCTCCACCAGAACACCTTCATATAGATGTTAGGTGTTTATTTTTATTATTTAGAAAAAGAGGAAGAGTTTACTTGTGAGTCGGAAACCCTTTAGTCCTCTGTGACTAAACTGGAGCGTATTCCTCTTACATGGGGACCCCCAGTCCACACGCCTCTAAGCAACTGCATCACAGGCAGCAGTTACGTCCTGTCTCGCACAGCCCCCCACATTAACCACAATGTCTAATCAATCCCTTGTCTACTGCCTTTCTCCTGTGTGAACTTGTTTAGAAAGAGAATCAAGCTGGTGCAGATAACAACTCCCATCCTCACAAAGCTTGTTTAAGGATCTAATGAGACACTCTAAGGAGATGTGCTTTCTTCCCACACCCGGGCAGGTGCTCTCAGGGATGTGAAAGGGAGAAACTCACCTGTCTGGTTTATTTCAATCCGAGAACCGTTGGTGATCTTGTCCAGCAGGCGGATGAAGCTGGCTTCAAAATCTGCAGGGAAGAGAAGAGAACAAATTGGTCTCTGTCTGACCTCCACTCCCAGAGCCCGTGGTCCAGGTCTCAGCATGCGGTCAGCATCCCACACGCGCCCAGGCTTGCCTCAGGGCCTGGCAGGGGTCCCAGGAAAGGACCCAGAAGCAGTGAGAAGCACTGATAGGCATATGTAAGCCTGTGACATCATCAGAAACGCTGAAACGCTCACATCCACCTTAACCAGCAACTCTAACTCACGGCGACTCCGTGTGTGTCAGAGAAGGACTGTGCTCTGGGGGTCTGACTGGAAGTGGATCACCAGGCTTTTCTTGTGAGGCATTTCTGGGTTAACTCGAACCCCCAAACTTCTACTTAGCAGCCACCTTAACTGCCTGTCCCACACAAGGACCCTAATCAGGTATCGACTTTAGCAGCAGAAACGGCATTATCTTTCTTCTTCTGACTTCTGAAAAACCACCAGTGTCAAGTCCGTCCAGCTCACAGAGACACCAAGTGACTGTCCCCAGGGGGTTTCTGAGGCTGTAAATCTTTAGAGCGCAGGTCACCAGGGCTTTTCTCCTGCAGAAATGACTGGAGGGTTCAAACCTTTCAGTGAGCAGGCAAGCATTTAACTGTTGCACCACCAGGGTTCCGGCATGTGAACTCCTGAGACAAAGGAGACTAAGTCAAGGGCCACTCTTCAGTCTCAAAGCCTAGGCGAGGCCACTGTCCCCACTCAGACACGTGTCCCCTCTCTGGCACCACACTGTCCAGTCATGTATCTGGACGGCGCAGCTGATATCATCAGAAAGACATGAGAACACATGGAACCACCACCCCGTCTGTGTCCACATGACAGCGCCTGGGAACAAACACGTCAAAGATACCACGAGGTCCTCCTGATGAGGGATTTCAATACTTTTCTTATTTCAACATCTATGTTCAAATCTGCAATCATTCCTGTATAAGAGACCACTAATGTAAACTTTAAAGGCTGATCATTCTTTAAAGAGAAAGAACCAATTTTAAGTGTAAAATAGGTGCGTAAAGGAAGAAAGAAGACTCAGACCCCAGAGATTCTGTCTCTGGCTAAGCACATGCACATGCACACACACTACCCACCCACACCCACATTCTCCCACACGCCTCTTCCTGACCACGAACAAGTACAAGAGGGTCAGTCTGCCCACTCTGAAGACAGCACGGCACTTGACACTCCTGTAACACACCTGCAGTGCTGACCGGCTAGGAGTCCAGCAGTCACCTGAACTGACCCACTGTTTGTGGTGGGGCCTGTGCCACCAGCACAAAGAGTTCACAACACTCAAACTCATTGTCACGGGGCCAGCTCGGACTCCTAGCTGCCCCCCCATGGGTTTTTGGAGGCTGTCAGTCACGCAGGAGGAGACGGTGTGCTTCCCTCAGAAGGGCTAGGGGCTCTGAGCTGTCAGAGGAGCAACTTCAAGGGTTGCAGCAGTGAAACTCTCTACAGACCAAACAGCACTGGGCTATAAGTCCTCAGACGGGTCACTGCTACTTTCGTTTTGGTCTTTTAGCTTTTCATGGTAAATTAGGTGCTGGTCCTGAGAGGTATGTGTGCAGAGCCTCTCCACCCACCGCACCCCCACCTCCCACCCCCGACTCAGGCAGCTGGGCAGGTGCCATCTGACAGTCAGCGAAGGCGCAGGAATGTCCACTCACTTGCCCTGGTCACATGCCTGCAAGTGCAGAGCCAGGATCTGGGGCAAAGCCAGGCCAAGTGCCACGCCACAGCAGGGTGCGGCGGGCCAGGCCTGCAAGCAGCCGTCGTAACACCTGAACTAGATGGACTCTTCCACATCGCCAGTCTAGGTTTCTGAAAATTCAGGTTCAACAGTCATTTTTGCTTCACTCGTAAAGAGAGTCGATCTCGAGGATTACACGCCTAAGAACCTTCCAGAACCAGAGAGACAATGGGAACTCCAAAGACCAATGGGCACGAGAGGGGGCAGTGAGGTTAAGTTCACGCAGGAGGAAGAACCCAGGAAAAACTAACTGGTGTGGAGCTGGCGCTGACTCATGGCTGACTTTCTACTGGGCTTTCAGAGGCTGTAGATCACACAGGAGGGAGGAAGTCTACTGTAAAAACAGCAAGGGCCGCGTGGGGACAGCCACACCGACCTTTACCAATTCCACATTTTAGACCTGTGGCTGGGTGCTCTGCCCATAAATGGGAAATCCTAGATTTGCTGTGCTTTACAGATGCAGAAATGGGACACAGCAACCCGTGAGTGGCCACGGTGACACGCCTTCACTGTAATGGGTGAGGTGGGAACATGACTTCAGGAAGAAACGCTGTAACCACAGGGTCCTGCCCATGCACGCACACTCCAGCCAGCAATGCCAGCTGAGGGTGTTCCAGAGCCCTGGCCAGTGTGATGCCATCACCGGTCCACCCCATACAAGGTGCCCACCACCCCATTATGGGCAAAACTGTGTCCACCAAGGCAGCAAGCTGCCAAGCTGGACCTCCACCTGTGGTTACAGGAAGCGTTTATCTATGCCACACTGACCACGCAGTCATTAGAGCGTGGAGGTCATAACAAAGCAAGGGGAATGATGACCGGGAATTCCAGGACACTGCCCTGGGCTCACAGGGTCTGCAGGGCTACAAATCTTCTTGAGAATAGACTGCCCATCTCTCTCTCACGCAGCCACTGGGAGATCTGAACTGCCAACCTTAGAGTTAGCCATGTGACACATCTAAGGAAGACGGACGCATCGTTGCCTGCAGTCAGTGCTGGCAGTGAACACCGAATACACCTCGGAACGCGAGGACCACAGCGTGTCTTGGAGGAGTGCAGGCCAGTGCTCTGGACCGACTTGCTCTCACATACTTGGGGCGTGCTATCGGGGAGGCTGTAGCGGGCTTGCTAACGTGGCTGCTGGTGGAGTTATGCGCCACTGAGGCAACTCAGAGAGGCTCCACGAGTAACAGATCCAGACTTGGCCTGTTCCTGAGCCGTCGCTGATCCCCGCCATGTTCGCGCCCACTGTGACCGTCACTGTGTCAGTCCTTCCCGTCAGGTCTTCCTCTCTTTCTCTGACCTCCCACCTTTCCCACAGTTCCATTTTTTCCCCCCAAGGGCTGACTCTGATAACACTCCCAAAGTATACGTGACACAAAGTCTCACCATCCCTGCCTCCAAGGAGCACCCTGGTTTGCCCGTCCTGCCTGATAGATGTGCTTATTCTTTTGGCAGTCCACAGGGCTACTCAGTACTCGTCAGCGACAACGGAATTCAAAGGCATCAATTCCTCTTCTGTCATCCTCCCTCAGTGTTCAACGACAAGATGCAGAGAAAGCAACAGGTAAAGTGGAGGGCGGATCAGTGATAGAGAAGATGCTCCTTGAGGTGGGTGACACAGTCCCTGTAACAATGGTCTCAGACCTGCAACGCTTCATTCTGTGATGCCAACTCCAGGCACAGCACAAAAGCAGGCCTGTGGTTAGAATCCCATCTAGACTGTTACACGAATGTAGCATGATTAGTATACAGTGTATGTGTAGTTAAACTCATCTGAGATGTAAAATAAACAAGCAAGAGAGAGAAACAGAGACAGGAGTAGAGATTGCTGGAGGCAGAGGCTTCCTAAAGAGCCAGCAGAGAGAAGGCTTCCTGAGAGTCAGCACTCGGGATGTGGACTTCATCTCCTAAAGGGGAATCAAATACATGTCTCCTTATCTACAACCAGGACAGGATAAAATAGAGGAATGGGACCTTCTAAGAATCAAATCCCTATGCACATGCAAAAACTTCTCCAACAGAGTAAAAAGGGAAGCCACAGACTGGGTAAAAGGATTTGGTAATGACATGTCAGATTATAAAATACTTGAGCACCACAACAAGATAAAGGTAAATAATCCAATAGAAAAATGCGCACAGGATATGAACAGACACTTCACCAAAGAAGACATTCAGATGGCTAACAAGCACATGAAGAAATGTTCAAAATCCCTCGCTCTAAGAGAGATGCAAATCAAAACAACTATGAGAGACCATTTCACCCCAGTCAGAATAGCAAAACTTAACAGAAGAGCAAACAACAAATGCTGGCGAGGTTGTGGAGAAAATGGAACCCTTATTCACAGTTGGTGGAAGTGTAAAATGGTGCAACCACTGTGGAAGGCAGTGTGGCACTTTCTCAAAAAGTTGTGAATAGAGATACCATTTGACCCAGCAATTCCACTACTGGGAATATACTCCAAAGAAATCATAACCACTACCCAAGCAGATATAAGCACACCCATGTTTATCGTGGCTTTGTTCACAAAAGCGAAGAGTTGGAAACAACCCAAGTGCCCATCAACAAACGAATGGTAGAGAAGCTGTGATATATTCACACAATGGAATACTATGCTGCATTGAAAAACAAGGAACTCATGCAATATTATTCAAAATGGGTGATCCTGGAGGACATTATGCTGAGTGAAATATCTCAGTCACAAAGGGACAAATACTGAATAGTGCCACTATTGTAAAACAGGACTAACATCAGGGTTGGGTGGAGACTGAGAAAGATGGGTTCAATAATGTATATTGCATTGAAACAGATGAGGGAGAAAACTGTTTAAAAAAGATATGTGATTCGGTATTATTGTCATGACAGAGTCTAGATCAAAGTCTGCATAGTGGAGTGGACTTGGGGGAAAGGATTGTAAAACAATGAAAGAATTTTTCTTTTACTTTTCAAAGAGAAGAACAAACTGGGGGGGGCAGGGAGAAAAGTGTAACAATGAATGGAAATCCAAGGTCTCTGTAAATTTTCATTAAAATTAACATTAATAATAGTAATAAAAACACATGTATCCTTGTGAAACTCTGTCTTCACAGAAAATGTCTGTAGGATTCATTGTCTTTACCCCTATGACCCTCTTCGTGACTCTCCTGGGGGAACAGAATTTCAGGTATCTTGGAGTTTCACCAGGGGGCTCTGGTGGGCTAGGTAAGGAGCTGCACTGCCAATCCAAAGGTAGG